GGCACCCCTTTACGTTTCATCGCCTCGATACTAATATCCCATCTCGCGGAATTGAACGCGTTCCGTATGTCTATGGCTACGAGTGCGCAAAATCCCTTCTTCTTCCCTGATTTGACTTTATTTGCCTTTTCAACAACCGCTAAAATCGCGTCTACCGTTGACCGGCCCTTTCTAAAGCCAAACTGGTTTTCGGATAAGCTACTTTCGCCTACCAGGATTCTCTGTAGTCTCTCCAGAATCATTCCCTCTAGAAGTTTACCCATCGTGTCCAATAAACAAATTGGTCTAAACGATGAGACTTTATCTAGAGGTTTATCCCCCTTCCTAAGGAGGACCAACTTCTGTGTTTTCCAGTCACTGAAAAACCTTCCACACTCCAGACATGTATTAAAGACGTCGAGAAGTAGCTCCGGATACACAGCGATAACTTCTTTAAGTATCTCGTTGGGTATTCCATCATTGCCTGGCGCTTTGCCATTTTTCAACGTCTTTGCCACCTTTTTAAGCTCTTCAAGTGTGAAGAGTTCTTCCCTCTGTACTACACAGTGAGTATAGTCCTCTCGGGGGCCAGATTCCACATGGGGGAACAAAGCACGTATGATTTTTCGGACCCAAATCGGATTGTCCAGACCGGGGGTTTTTTGCCGCGAAACTAATTTCTTAGAAACTACTCTAAAGGCCAACCCCCATGGGTCATTTTCCGCTTCTCCGATCAGGTCCTTCCAACACTTTCTTTGGCTACTCCTTATAGCCCGCTTGAAGATATGCCTGGCTTTATGCCACTCTTCTTGCAGCAGGAGGTCTCCCTTAGAATGGGTATACTTCCTCCTCGCTGCATGGCATTCTCTTCTTTGGCGGGCTAGCTCGTCATTCCACCAGTACAGAGCTTTTTTAGCTTTTCTTTTCTGCCGGCGAGGCATTGAGTTCCTGCATGCCGCGATAATAACTCGCCTCGCCTCACGCACTTTTTCTTCTAGAGTGATTGGCTTCGTCGTCCAACCGAGTTCCTGAATAGACCGAGACTCGGCTAGAGACTCCGCCAATCTCTCTCTATTTAGTCTTCTGAGATTCCAGGAGGGCTTCTTGCTGCCACCTTGCAGTCTATTGTTCCCTCCCAGATTTTTCTCAGAGACTATAAACTCAATGTACTGGTGGTCGCTCATGGTCGTCTCGTCCAGTACACTCCACTCTCTTATTCTACGAGCCACGCGGGGCGACGCGATTGTCAAATCGATGATCGACCCTGCTACCCCGCGCCTGAACGTGAACTTCCGACCCCGGTTCATCACCACTAGATCGTTCGCTGCGACCATATTCGCTACCAAGGTTCCTCTCCTGTCTAAGCGGCTCTCTCCCCATTCCGGCGACTTGCTATTGAAGTCTCCCGCAATGAGGACATCACCGCCGAAAGCTCTAACGCTTTCTTCAAGAGCTTGAACCTCGGCAACGAATTTTTTAAAGGGATCGTTTGGGGAGAAGTAGCAGCTGTATATACGTACACCTGCCACCTCTACCCAAACAAACCCCTTATCTGTCTCCAGGAAGTCACCAATGGTGATGTCCGGGTTACACACCTGTATACCTGATCTTCTTGATGCATCCTCAAACCAGACAGAGAATCCCGGCTTCTTGTACTGCTCACTGAAAAGCAGCACATCAGCTCCTCTCTCTCTGGCAGTCTGCATCAAGAGATCTTGCGCGACTCTTCCTTTCCTGAGGTTAACTTGGAGAAACCTTAGCTCGGGACTTTAGGTCCTGGAGCAACTTCCAGTAAACTGGACAAGCCCTGCTTCCTGGAAGGTGTTTTAGATCCGTCATCCCACTGTCGGAACACGTGATGCATTTGGCATCGCCTTTGCATCCCGTCTTCCGGTGATCTGGACTGCCACACCTCCAGCAAGCAGCCTTCCTGTCTGGGCCAGTGCATCCTCCGGCCAGGTGGCCGTAGCAGAGGCATCTATAGCACCTCTCTACTTCCAGCCTGGCACGGACTCTGCAATTGACCCAGCCAATCTTCACTCTTCCGGTCCCAAGAAGGGATTCTGCGTCCGTTTCCGGGAGTCGCAGAATCGCCATCTTGTTATGACCATACCGAGTGAAGACTTGGCATGGCACATCTAGGTTTGGCTTGCCCAGTGTTACCCGGACCGCCTCAACAACTTCTGTATCGACGATGGTCTCGTCGAGGTCAAGTATTTCTACTGACCTCGTCGAGACCAGCGTCTTCACCTCCGCCTTTCCTTCGAGAGCGGTGGCCAGGGCACCTCTGAAACCAGAGAGATCCTGACCCTTCTTCAGAACCAGAAGGATTTTATCCCTTCTGGTTCTTCGAATTGACAGAATCTCCGTCTTCGTCTCTTCGGGCCTGACCCCCGCTTTCATATCCTTCAGGATATCCGCGTAGGACTGACCGTCCTTCGCGGATACCCTGATGGCCTCCGTCCCTCTAGACCTCTTACCTGGGGGTCGTCCCGCTTTAACGCTTGACGACTCCCTGGCTTCTACTGGGGCCTTTTTTTCTTTCTTCTTCTTCTTCTTTTTCTTTTTCTTTTTGACTTCTTTCCAGGTCTCAGAATCGACCTGGGAAGAAGTACCTTTAGTTTTTTTGACTTCGAAAACAGGCGGGTTTTCCTTTTCGGCCAACTCGCCTGTTTTCCCCTTCTTCAATGCCCCTGGCTCAGGGGGAGTCTTCGAGGCATCTCGTTTTTTACCTTTTTTTTCCGAAATCGGAGTCGCCAGGGACTTTACCCTTTGGTGACTTCGATTTCTCTTTTGAGGGAGGGAGTCAGCCTCCTCCATCTTTCGTAGGAAGCTCTCTCCCTCCTCTTTTGCATCTTTTATTATGCCTCGAAGACTCCCACTATAGAGGTAAGCCTCCTTGGCACAATTTTTAACCTCCTTGGAGTTGTTCTTGAGCATCCCGTCCCGCACTGTTTTTAGTGCTTGGACGAGTTGCTCAACAACCTCGGACTGCTTCTCCAGAAATCCAAGGATAGCTCGCCATCCTTCGACCTCCGGGGAAGCAGCCCGCAACTCCAAGTTCTCCGGTTCTTTTTTATTTTCAACGATGGTGACGGGGAGCTCTACACTCTCCGTCTCCATCTTTTCTTCTTCTCTTTTCTGCCTTGAGGCATTTAATGGCTCATCGGCCAAGTCAGCCACCGATGAGCCACTGCAGTCATTGGATCTCGACGCTCCAGGGCCTGCTTTCGCACCCTGGGACAGCGCCGCCACTGGGGCTTCCGATTTCCCCTGCTGGGTAACATTTATTTCATTTTTTTTGTTTTCCATTTTTTTTTTTTCTAAATTTTGTATTTTTTATCGGGGTTCCTTCCCCTAGCATGTAAGTGTGTGGTTTATGTGTGTGAAAGACCTCCGCAATGTACTGCCCCGCGAGGCAGGGTGCGCAGAGGTCCGTAAGTGTAATGTGGTGTGTGTGACTTACATGCGTGTGTAAAGATGTGAAAGTGTTAGTGGAGAAACTTTCTCGAAGGGGTTTACAGTGGTCCACCCGGGAAACCGATCCCATCGGCCGCAGAACGCAAACCTGGTGCTCAACCAGCCCGAGAGTCCTGCAATCCATTTCAGTGGAATCGGATGACCAGCTTCCCCATCCCGCAAGACCGATTTAACGGACATTCCTTCGTGGGGTCGCTGGAACCTTCAGGCGACAGGGTTTTAAGCCCGTCCGTTGGTCATCGCTTTCCGTTTGGGCACCGTGCGTCTTTAATATTTCAAAGACACCAGGTTTCTAACCCGCACAGCCAAGCGATCCATCCTCATCCCCTATTCCGTGATGCAGGAGCAAGGGCCGGCAGAGCAGACAAGAGTCCGATCGGCCGCAGAGGGGAACAGTCCCCGAGCAGTCCACTATCTCACCCCTTTTCCTTTCTTTTCTGTTCTTTTGAAAGTTCTCCGTGTATGCTGGTTTTGGTTCACGCCGGTTATTTCATTTCGCCGGTACCACCTATATCTAGGAGGCGTGCCCTTATCCACCACCTAGGGACGCGCCCGATGGGGGACCAGCAAAGAAAACCCCAAGAGACAAGCAAATTCGCACAAATTTGTACAAACTACTGTCTCCCTCCACTTGGAATGAATTCCAAACGAACACGGGCGATCCGAGTGATAGTTTTCGAGATAGATCAGTTATAGTGGGTTAATAACTTTAGTTAAGATGGTAAATAGGTGTCTCCTATTAAGTATTTCATTAACTTAATCATATCTGATAAGGTAGAAATTTTATTGACCAACAGTCAAATTTTTATGTAAAAAAATCGTACAAATATTTTTCGTACATGGTTTCTGAAAAAAGTGGGTCGTTTCTCGCTGCTGGGGTATGATCTTTATTTATATCTATCTTTATTATTTAAAATCTTTAATGTTTATATTTAGTATCTTTATTTAAGAAGAGAAAATTAAAAAAAATCTAAGTTTGTCACTTTTTTATTTCTGAAATATTGAGGCATTTTTAGATATTGTAATGTTAATACACACACATACATATTAGATAAAATGTTTATTACAAACATCATCTTTGGATTTCTGGGGTCAAATAATATTGAAATACATATGACAAAAAATAGCAATCAAAAATTTTCACCAATACAGTAGTTCTTCAATGAGGAAGCAGTATTGCGGACCCTAAAACAATAGTGGCATTTAAGGAGTATCTTAAGTTGAGTATTGACACTTAAATATTAGTGAATAAAAACGGACCGACATAACTTGGCGAAAATGGTACATATAAATACGATGTGTTGATAAAATATTTATTTCACTATAGGGGTATGATAAGGTAGAATTTTTGGAGCAAGAGTGATGGTGGAAATTGAAAGCGTTATGTCAATAAATCGGAACCTTGTCAATTAGATTGGAATTTTTGGAGCAAGAGTGATGGTGGAAATTGAAAGCGTTATGTCATTAAATCGAAACCTTGTTAATTAGCTTTTGATATTAAGTTGGTGCTTTGCAATTAATAGAAATATATGTTTATGCAGGTTTGGCCTCAGTAATCGATTTGAGTCAGAATTTCCAAATGGGTTGGTGTCACGTGTTGCACCTGAAGAATTCAAAGCAACTGTAATGAGAGTTAATAACGTTCTTAAAAAAACTCTTCCCGTCAATGTCAAGTGGCTATTTTGTGGTTGCGTTTGTTGTTGCTGCACTTTAGGATGCTCTTTGTGGCCTGTCATATGTCTTAGCAAAAGGGTGATAGTATTTAATAATATTTTTATGAAATTATTATGTCTCTTTTAATTAGTAACTTGGTTGCTACGCTTTCTGGAAACCTGGAATTTATTACTTCAAAAATAGTAGCAGTTCTCTAAATGTACTACAGTTTCAAAATAATATTTAGTTTTGAAGAAACAGTCAGCTTTTTAAAAAACCTTCATTACTTATAATATATTCTTCTTTTATTTAAGGGTGTCAGGTCTTGTTATCAAGAAAAAAATTTATTGTGGATAATCGAAACAAAATATTCAGATCAAATCTTTTGCACTTTATTTATACACTATAAATAACAATTCTCTTTCTAATTTCGTATTATTTATTTATTTCTGTTAAGTTTTCAAAATCAACATTTCATTTAATTTTTATTAACAAAATAAAATAATTAAAAACAATCAAATGTATAGTCTGTGGTGAATTTATGCATATAACATTAATTTCTTTGATGTATTTTATGATTTAATGTTTAAAAAAATGTCATGGAAAACCTAGAAAATATTTGCATTTTTGAAATGTTGAAACCGTAGCAACCTTGTAATTTAATTTTTGTACGATATATTTTTTTAATATAATATTAATGTATTATGAGCAGACTCAACATTCTATTAACAAATTACTGGAATGGGAGAATAGCAGACTTTATCACAAATTAGGTTTACATTGGAGATTATCAAAGCAAAGGTGCGATAGCTCTTCTATGATGGAATATGTAAGTTATAAGAAAAATAGATTTTTTAAATTCTTATATTTTAAATCTAAATAAATTTGTTGTTTCAGGTTCTTCTAATAGAATTTATTCCTAAAATTCCGCTTTATAGACCAGACTAAGGAATGCAACTCTAGAATAATTTGAGCTTTAAATTTAAGATTTAATACAATAGTGAATTTTTGAATGTAATATTAAAATTTGTAAAAATGTGTCTTTTTTGTAAATATCATGTATAAAATTATGTAGGATAATAATTTAGAAATGCAATTTATATGCAATGAAAGAACAGGATTGCAATAATTGCATCACACCGTACTCTATCAGGTTTATATTATGTGAACATTGATTTATAAAAGGATGTGACGAAGAAAAGTAGATTTTTATAAATTAACTTTTAGAATTAGAATTTCGATTTACCTTTATTGCTTTCTCATAGAGGAAGTATTGTAATACCAAAATTTTTCAAGCTAGATTTTTTTTATATTCGACCTCAGGAATTCAAAAATCACATTTTTAAAGAATGTTCCTTGTGTGTATATGTACAAACATTACATTTTCATAAATATCTAAAATTCTACACGGAGAGAAAAATCTAGCTTTTATAGTATGAGGAGGCATACGTTGAAGGTATGAAACTTTTTCATGCAATTTTAGTCAAAAAATTCTAGCGATATCTGTAAGAACTCTTGCGTTTTCAGCATGAAAGCAATCAATGGTAAAATGGTATGTTGAACATACTCTCATAGGAAGAACTTCATGCTCTGAAAGCAGGAGCGCCATGCGGCAAAAGTATAGAACACAGTCCTACTAGGATTGCAGGAGTCTCATGCTTTTTCGGTATGAGACTCTTGCAACAGGAGTTTAAGCCACGCCCCCTTTAAATTTAAATACATAGTTCAAAATGATTTGCGCGTTTTTATTAAACTGTGAGATACTGTATACACGGGAAAAAGAGAAACGTTGGATTAATACCGTTTTCCGATTGGTTCAACGTCAGTGGGCCCTGTCACGATTTCGGCATTGATTCAACAGACTTTTACTGTTGAACCTACTGTCAATCTATTGTTACAAGTAAGTTGATCCAACAGACACTGCCTACAGCGCTCCTTGCCGTTGAACCAATCGGAAAACGGTATTAATCCAACGTTTTTCTTTTTCCCGTGTATGAATAAGTAAATGTAGATAAATGATTTTAATATATATAAATATATATATATATATATATATATATATATATATATAGTTACGATGGTAAATAGGTTTTCCTATTAAGTATTTCATTAACCTAATCATATCTGATAAGGTAGAAATTTTATTGACTAACAGTCAAATTTGTATGTACGAAACTCGTACAAATATTTTCGTGCATGGTTTCTGAAAAAAATGGATCGCCTCTCGCTGCTGGGGTATGATCCCAGAACCTTCTTATTGCCGGTAAGATGCTCTACCAATTGAGCTACAGAGAGACCCGATTCCACTTCATTAAGAAACCATGCACACGACTTTTCAACGTCAATATTAAGAACTTTAGAAAATATCTAGTGACGATGGTAATTTGTTTTTGAATTTTTAATATTGTAGTTACGATGGTAAATAGGTTTTCCTATTAAGTATTTCATTAACCTAATCATATCTGATAAGGTAGAAATTTTATTGACTAACAGTCAAATTTGTATGTACGAAACTCGTACAAATATTTTCGTGCATGGTTTCTGAAAAAAATGGATCGCCTCTCGCTGCTGGGGTATGATCCCAGAACCTTCTTATTGCCGGTAAGATGCTCTACCAATTGAGCTACAGAGAGACCCGATTCCACTCTATTAAGAAACCATGCACACGACTTTTCAACGTCAATATTAAGAACTTTAGAAAATATCTAGTGACGATGGTAATTTGTTTTTGAATTTTTAATATTGTAGTTACGATGGTAAATAGGTTTTCCTATTAAGTATTTCATTAACCTAATCATATCTGATAAGGTAGAAATTTTATTGACTAACAGTCAAATTTGTATGTACGAAACTCGTACAAATATTTTCGTATTGCGAGTCGTGTTCGGTCCAGAGTCGTATAAGTAATTAAAGGACTCCAGAAAGCTTCGTAGGCGTTGTGATTATCTGGTGTTATCCGTCCAAAGCTTCCAGCGTCCAATCCAGCAAGATTATTCTCCTCCTCAGGTGGGATAGGTCCTTGCGGCAAGACAGCTTCTGCAATGTTCGGTAGAACAGAAGCGCCATCGTTAGTCAAAGCCGTGGTGATATAAGACACATATTCAACAATCGGTGCGGGCATCAGAAAATCATCTGGTATTAATTCCAGCGGGTCCGGATCATCTTGGTGTCGTGGCTCTTTGTTTACATACTTCACAGTATGCATTAAACTCAACTGCAAATATACATTGCAGGAGTGCATAAACGCAGCTCTCGGCAGTTTATCTGGAAAGTTGCGGTCGAGTGTGTTAAGGTCATTATAGGTTTCGTCAACTACTACTCCAAAACCTGAAAGATCAAAGTTCTGGCTGTATTCCGTCCGTAGAGGAGTAGAAGACTGGTATGGTCCATCAGAGTAGAGTGGTGCATCACGCGGAGCAGTTTCAGTCCTTGCCTTAAATCTGGTGAAATCATCAGTCTTCGGCGGTTGATTCCTACGCATTTCAGCGCGCTGCTTATTCCTGCGAGTTCTACTCGTTTCTTTCGGTTTTGCAACCGGTTCGTTCTTTCTAGAAAACCATTCAGTATCCGGATCGAGATTCTCGACTGATTCCTGGTACTGCTTTTTCTTATAATCAGTCACCCGCTTCTGACCTCTAGTGGATTTTCCAACCTTGGTCCCAGCATTTGCGGTAGGTTCTGATTGAGATGTTGAAGCTGTAGGTTGCAATTTCTTGCCGGCATCTGCCATCTTAAGTAATAATAATAATAATAAGAAGGTTCTGGGATCATACCCCAGCAGCGAGAGGCGATCCATTTTTTTCAGAAACCATGCACGAAAATATTTGTACGAGTTTCGTACATACAAATTTGACTGTTAGTCAATAAAATTTCTACCTTATCAGATATGATTAGGTTAATGAAATACTTAATAGGAAAACCTATTTACCATCGTAACTACAATATTAAAAATTCAAAACACAAATTACCATCGTCACTAGATATTTTCTAAAGTTCTTAATATTGACGTTGAAAAGTCGTGTGCATGGTTTCTGAATAGAGTGGAATCGGGTCTCTCTGTAGCTCAATTGGTAGAGCATCTTACCGGCAATAAGAAGGTTCTGGGATCATACCCCAGCAGCGAGAGGCGATCCATTTTTTTCAGAAACCATGCACGAAAATATTTGTACGAGTTTCGTACATACAAAATTTGACTGTTGGTCAATAAAATTTCTACCTTATCAGATATGATTAGGTTAATGAAATACTTAATAGGAAAACCTATTTACCATCGTAACTACAATATTAAAAATTCAAAAACAAATTACCATCGTCACTATATATATATATATATATATATATATATATATATATAAATTTGTTGCGACTGGATATAATATTTATATTAAATAATATATAATTATAAATATCTTATTTCAAAAATAATGTTAAAAAATTATATAATTTAAAGAAAAAAGTATTATATTTTATTAAAATCTAATATAGTATTGTAAAAATATTTTGAACTTATATTTATATTTAGTAATTAAATATAAACTATTTTTATATATATATGTCGCGCTACAAAGAAAGGTACATAAGAAGCAAAGAATTTTAGATTATGTTTTAAATTTTAGGAATGAAAATACACAAATAGGATCAACTTTTAATACAAACCATTGATCTTCAAGTCTTCATTACACCAAAAATATTTAATAAAAACTAATTTTGATCTTACTTAATGAAATAGAAACTTCTCATCAAGGTAAAATTGTATCAAACATTATAATAATGAAATAAATTTATACTTAATAAAATAATGGGAAGTAATTGATTTATCCAATAATTTTAATTTAAAATATTCAAATAGAACAGTTTAAACTTTTAAGAATTATTGAATTTTTGAATGCGTGAAGATAATAATTTAATATTCATACTTTCATTAAATGAAAAACATCAAAAATACGAACAAAAACACGAACACAATTCGTCTGTTATCAATCACTGCGATTCACATACTGATATCAGAAATTCGAAATAGCCCATGCGTCGCTAACGTTTTCACGCAAAGTATATAAGGGGGCGTGGCTTAAACTCCTGTTGCAAGAGTCTCATACCGAAAAAGCATGAGACTCCTGCAATCCTAGTAGGACTGTGTTCTATACTTTTGCCGCATGGCGCTCCTGCTTTCAGAGCATGAAGTTCTTCCTATGAGAGTATGTTCAACATACCTTTTTACCATTGATTGCTTTCATGCTGAGAACGCATGAATTCTTGCTCTAATTGTAGGAAAAATTCATGCTGGAATAGTAAGAACTACTTTCATACTATAAAAGCCAGATTTTTCTCTCCGTGTATAAAAGCTATGGGGATACTTTTTTTAAATCGTCTGTTATTACCAAATTATTGATGTTTCAAAATTAAAAAATATTTTAAAACGTGACTTTTGGTGATGTTTTGTTATTAAATTATAAATAAATTGCATCCCTATTTTATGAACTCATCCTTATTACCATGAAGAAGCAAATTGTTTTTGAAATGGAACACAAAAAATTCATATTTCAACTTGGCAGCGGTTTTATTACTTTTTTTTCGTTTTTCCTAGATTGTAAAAAATCTGCTTAACCCTTCACTGAACCTGAATCGTAATCGCAAACGGAAGAATGTGTTAGAGAAGGATAGACATATTGTTTGTCTTTCTATAACTCAGGCTGCAGTCTCATGGCAGCGTTTTGCATTGCGTTTTGTCACTAGACCCTGAGTGTAAACATAGCAAACATATATCTGCATCTCTTTTACACTCATGGTCTAGTGACAAAACGCAACGCAAAACGCTGCCATGGGACTGCAGCCTCATTATTCCGGTTGCGTTTGCGGTTACAATTCCGGTTCCGTTTATATTCTGCGTTGGCCTTTATTTTGGCCAAACTTGTCCAACTTTTTGATCGAGTCTCAACTGAGTGGTGCTAATTCCAGCGCATAGGTGGCGGTCACCTTTCTACTTTTCTATCAGTAGGCAAGAATTCCTACCATGGAGAATAGACTACAGGAGACCAATGTAAGGCCTAAGCAGAATAGCTTCGCGAAAGACGTTCGCGAACGTGAAACATGAGTTAGAAAAGGACAGAGATATATTCGTATCCTTTTCTATCTCATGCATCTCGTTCGCGAACAACTTTCGCGAATCTATTGTGCGTTGGCCTTTAGTCATGAAGTAGTATAAGAAGCACACACTCTATAGGCCATTTTTGAAAAT